AATGCAAAATTAAAGAATCAATACATAAATAATGAAAAATGACTAAAGAGAAGAATAAGGAAAAACCGATCTGTCATTCATCGCCCAGACTTGATTTATGGTCAAACATCTGTACAGCGTACAGTTGATGGGCACTAAAGAGGAAAAAGTAAAGCTGAGCACCTCGTGCTCAACAAAGCTATACATTCTAGTACTGCTTTGGCATTGAATTTCACTTCCGATGCACTCATTTCTTTCTCGTCCGGTCCCATTAGAATTTGGAGCTGTTGGTCCACAATCACATGATGGAACAGAGAGCAATCAATTCATGACTTTGCATAATTGCACTATAGCAAGTTTTTTCCGAGGGTAACTCTTCAGAGTCGTTGGCCTGCACTAATGGTTCTAGTGGGAACATTAGAATGACAGATAAATGAGGTGTAATTTTTTTTAAAGAGGGCAATTAGTACATATTAGTGGTGCTCGAAAAATAGGAAAAGGGATGTCACGGAGTTGGAACATATAATTAGTGACTGTAGCGAGTAAGCTGGAATGGAGGATCATAAGTGAGGCATCCTGAAAAAAACAAAGAGAGGGTAAATAGAGTAACAGAAGGATTGGGTAAAACTAATCTGAAATTTTATATGCAGATTTGGCTTAGAATATCTATAGGGCATTTCAATAACTAGCTGATGGGCACCAAAATAAGATAATAGGCAGAAGCTACTGTACCATTCGATCAAGTATTGATAATTAGTAAAATTCAATCAAGCAATTGCAAAATTAAAGAATCAATAGATAAATAATGAGTAGAAATTAGAGATAAATAACTCCACTAAAGGTAAAGTAAAATCAGAATCATATCTGTAAGAATAGTTGAGTGAACCAAAGAGGAAAAGAAAAATCAATGCCACCCGTGACCAACAAAATAATGGATCTGGAAGTCCCACTTTTTTGGAGGTATTCGTTCCCAGTCACATGGGAGAACAGAATAAAATCAATTCATGATCTTGCATGGGAGAACGCTTTCTTTAAAGTAACTGCTCAGAGTTAGTGGCCTGTATGAATGGTCTATAATGGGGAACACCAAAATTGACAGACTAATCTCTTAAAAATGCGTGCAGTCTTGACAACACATAAAGTTAAATTTTTTGGACTGTTGTCAGATGTTGGAGTAGTAGATTGATATGGTAGAAATATGAATTGATAGAGATAGAGTAATGACAATAGATTTTTTGAACTAAAGATAAAAGACTAATGACAATAGATTGGAGAAGCAAATTCTGAAAATGTAAATAACACCATTCACTCCACTTTTTTATGAACATATAATTAGCGTGGATTGATTTTTTACTCCCCCTATCTTTTATTATTATTCTATTAATAATTAATTTATTGAGATTTATGGTACTTTTAATTAATTTTAGTATATTAATACTACATCTAACTTTTTGGGAATGCATTTTATACATTTTAACGAGCAAAAAAAAAATCTTGATGATTTTTTTTTTTTTTGAATAAGGTATAATTTATAAGTATAATTCAAGCATATGTCAAGTACTCAATAAATTAAAACTTCAAATAAATTAGTAACTTTATAAAATTAATCATAAATTACAAGACAATTAATATTTAGGACCAACTTTAACTCAATTAGTAATCTTAATATCTAAAATGTTTGAAGGGAAAATAATAATATTCTCCAAGGTAGAAGTAAGCCTATATCATGTGATTCATTTAATTTACCGACGGTAGTAATTGTCATTTCGCAACCTATAAGGAATTAATATTTTATTACCTCAAAAAAAAAAAGGTATATAAACGGTAACAAAGTGTAAAACATAAATTATAAATTGTAATATTGTAAGTATGTATAAATAAA